CCCGTTTTGCAAAAGGGGACACTAAGTCCTGAGAAGCAAACATGTTGTTGTTAATCCTCACCCAAGGATACATGTTTTGTAAATGTTTTTCAAAATATATATTTTTTATTGATTTTATAGAGGAAGGGAGAGGGACAGAGAGACAGGAACATCGATGATGTGAGAGATAGAGCTTGCAACCCAGCATGTGCCCAGACTGGGAAGCGAACCATGACCTTCTGGTTCATAGGTCAACGCTCAGCCACTGAGCCACACCAGCCGGGCTAAAATATGTGTTGTTTTTATTTGTTTTTAGAGAGAGAGGAAGGGAGAAACATTGATGAGAGAGAAACATCCATCAGCTGCCTCCTGCACGTCCCCTACTGGGGATCAGGCCTGAAATCCCAACTTGTGCCCCCAATTAGGCTCCACCACCGACCCACACTGGCTGGGCCCGAGGATATTTCTTCCATTAATTTTTAGAGAGAGTGGAAGGAAGGAGGGGAGGGGGAGGGAAACATCGATGTGAGAAAGACACATAGATTGGTTACTCCTGCACAAACCCAACTAGAGTTGGGATCGAACCAGCAACCCAGGTTCGTGCCCTTGACCTGGAATCCTTGGCCCTTCTGTGCCCGGGCTGACACTCTAACCACTGAGCACACCAGCCAGGGCGAGAAGGGGACATTCTTGCTCCCACCACAGGTGAGCCAGGGTGTAGAAGCCAGTGTTGGGACTGCTAGTCCAGTGTCCCTCCTTTCGCCCCAAGTTGCCCAGGGGAAGAGCTAAGAGGGTCACCCCAACACAGCCAAGGTGCAGCCACAGAATCCACAACCCACAGACTATCTTGGGCTCAAGCTCTCAGCGTCAGGCCAAAGGGTCACCTCTCAGTCTCCGGAGTGTGGGGCACGCACTCCTCTGGCTCTGCGCTGGGTTCTGTTCAGTTGCCAGACCTGGCTGCCAGAGCCTGTTGTGGCAACGCATGCCCCAGTGCTGAGTGACGCACAGAGGGGAGAAGGAGGTGGGGAAGGACAGGAGCCAGGAAGGCAGGAGGCAGGTCAGTTGTGGTGGGAAAAGGATACCTTCGCCCCAGTAGCTCCCAAACCTGTGTGCCCTCCCCAGGCCCTTCCTCCTGCCCAATTTTGTTGAAGTTCTGATGCTAGAGCTACCTCCTCTGAGAAGCCTTCCTGAAATTTCCACATCAAGTCCCAAGGGCTCCCAGGGCACTGTGCTGGCCTCTGTGCTCCTGTCTTATCCACCCCGCGGTCTCCTCGGCAGGCCAGGGTCTTCCCCACGTCTTAGCACCCACAGGTGCATGGAACCCAGGACAGGTAAGAGTCGGAACAATGGGGCAAAGATGCCCACTGTGGGGTAGAGGTAGTGCAGGCCCCTCCTCCACAGGAACCCACACCCCCTGGGCTGGTTGAGACCTGGGAGGACCCGGAGGACCTCACTAATCCCAGCCCCCTGCCCACTCTCTGGATCTCAGACCAGGGTTGTTAGGCTGCCTTAGGCACCTGGGATTGACCCCCATCCCCGTCCCCCAAGGATGTGGCAGGCCCCTGGCCCTTAAGTGAGAGAATGAGGGGACTTGGGGGACAGGTGAGTCAAGGTGGGGCGGAGCACTGCCTGGGGCTCTCCATTCAACCTTGACTCATCTGTACAACTTCCTGGCTTAGGAGAAACACAAACAACCCTGCCTCTACCCACCACCCACCCTCTACTCCCGCCCCCAACCTACCGGCTTGGGAGGAATGGGAGGCTCAGGACAGGGAACCAGATGGAGGAGGAAGAGGATGCAGGGCCTGAGGCTCCTCTGACATCATCTCCTCCTTCCCTACTCTTGGCCTGCCTCCACTTCCCCAGTGCAGGTGGGACCTGTAATCCCTAGGTAAGCAGTCCAGTAGCTATCACCCACCCCAGGAGCCCCCTCACCCAGGAAAAAGAGAAGAAAAGCCTGGCCTGGATTCAGAGGCCCATCTGGAGTGGAGCCAACCTCCCAGTGGTGCACCTCACTCGCCCAAAGAAACCTCAAAATGCTCCCTCCCTTGTCTGGGACCTCCCAGACTTTCATTCTGCTGCTGCAGCCCACCTCTAGCACCCAGGACTCAGCAGGTCCAGGAGACGCCTCTCCATCTCCCTTATGGGATGAGGGTCCTCCAAACACTTTGTCCTAGTGTCTTGGCCAGAGGTGTACCCCGGGAGCAGGAGTGAAAAGTCAAGATACCCAAGAGGACAGACAGGCAGGTTAGGAAAGGCACAGGAGAGAGACAGGGAGGGGCTTAGGGTCTTGCTGGAAGGGGAAGACACACCCACCATCACCATCAACAAACACCAGTATTTCAACACCAAAACACAATTTCACCACCACCACCACCACCCCCAGCTAACATCTGTCAAACAGCCCTGGTAGCTTCATTCCAGGGAGGACTAGGGAGAGGGGCTGAGAGGGGCTGACCCTCTTAGCTCTTCCCCTGGGCAACTTGGAGCTGTTCCCAGGAAGGCAGAGACCAATAGTGGGGTGGTCTGGGTCCTCGCCCAAAACAGATTCCGGTCAAGGGCACATGCCCGGGTTGTGGGCTCGATCCCCAGTAGGGCCCGTGCAGGAGGCAGCCAATCAATGATGTTTCTATCTCCCTCGCCCTTCCTCTCTGAAATTAATAAAAGTATATTAAAAATAAATCAAGTTTTCAAACTGGGGGCCTAGGAAATTGGCGTGTTTAAGAAACCGAACTCCCAAATCAATTTGACCCTGAAGGCTGCAGGTCCCAGCGGCGGCTCCCCCAGCGCCTCCCGCCCGGTGGCTCCAGCCCCACCCTCCTCCCCGCCCTCCGTGCCTCCTTGTTTACTTCCTGGATCTTGCCCCACCTGGCAGGCCCCAAGGTGCGGAGGGTGGCAGGGCCCTTTGTTTGGGGCCGATAAACAACAGGCCATCGTCCGGCTCCTCAGGGCCGAGGCCCGGGCGGCGGGAAGGCCCAGGTGTTGTCCGGTGCTCCACGCCCCGCCCCCGTCGGGATGGATTGTAGGGGGCAAGGCTTAACCTTTGGGGGTGCTCTTGGGGTGCAGGACCCAGGTGAGGAGGCGGTAAACCCCTTTGTGACCCGGAGTTGGGGGGAGGGACCAGGACCTGAGGCCCCGCCCACTCCCTCGCTTAGAGAGAGAAAAAAAGCACCCAATGGGAAGGGGGCAGTTCTTTTAAAGTTTAATTTGGGAAGAATGCTACAGGGTCCGGGGAGTTAATCATTACAGGCCGCTTGCCTTCCAGAAGGGTCCCCCAGCAGGGGGCCGGGGGGGGAGAGAGCAGAGTCCAGGGTGGGCAGACCAAGAAGGGGCCTCTGGAGAGGCGGTAGGGTTGGGACGCCTGCCAACGGCGCACAGGTGCATTCTCCATCCCCGCAGTGCCAGGGCGACCCGGACCCGGACCCAGACCCGGACCCGGCTCTTTCTCCAGCAGCTCAGTCATCCCGGACCATCTCCCCCTTCCACCCCTCACCCTCCGCCCAGGACACTCTCTCCGCAGGCCGCGTGCGCTGCAGACCACCCACTGCGAAGCCCATGGCGTCCTGAGCCAG